GAGACAGGGTCTCCCTGAAGCCCCAGCTGGCCTGGAACTCACTATGTAGACCAGGCAGGCCTTGAACTCACAGAGATCCACCTGCCTCTGCCTCCCGAGTGCTGGGACTAAAGGCATGCGCCACCACGCCCAGCATCTTGTATATTTTTATCCAAGCAGTTCCTTTGTCTGTTACACTCACTCTTGATAAACAATAGCTACCTTGAGGTCTGCTACAACACTGGGTTCAGGAGTGGAAGGACCACTGAGGTGGGTCCCTAACACCACTGGTTCCAGCAAGTCTTTCTCACCCCCTGGTCTGTCACTGGCCTCTCTGTGGAGCCTGGCATGATGCTCGGGCTGTCAGCCTCCAACAGTGAAGTTTGAGACATCAGGACCATGACACGAGACAGTTTTGTGAATTGCAATGTGATGGTGTCCTTTGGGAAACACCGTACAATGTCATGTCCATCCTGTCTTTGTCACTGAGACACGTTCTTCTTAAACTGAAAGCTTGATTTTTAGCCATACTTTTTCATCATTTCTATCTTACCCTCATTCAGGTTCATTGATAGGCCAAGTTATATAAACGAAAGGCTTTTCTTGTTAAGTCATTTTGAAATTGTTTCTTTCCTGCCCGTTATCTTGGTCATCTATATCATTTAGAAAGACACTTGCACCAGTACTTGGGATCTGGCCAGGAAACCACATGGAAAGGCTCCTCGGAGTCTGCCATGGAGCAGAGTTAGGGCAAAGGAGCATGGGTCCCTAACTCGGGCGATGGGCTGTGAGTCTGAGACTCAGGACTCTGATTTGGGACACTGAGCTCGCTCCCTTCAAGCGTCATTCATTCCACTAGTGCTGCTTGGATATACGTAAAGCGACTTTGACTCTTATAGTTATCAATCTTTCTAGTATTTGTAGGCCCGAAGATAGGCGGTACCTTTATATGCAGTCTTAGGAGGGGCCAGCTCTACAAGCTGGTGACTTGACTTAACCATTTCACTTGACATTGTTGCTGAATTCGCGCTTGGCTGTCATATTACAATATATAGGAATAGTATTTAAACCACCCATTGTCCCCACTTGTCTCCTGGGCACACTGATTTCTTGTGCCCCCAGGACAGCACTCAGCTGTGAGCACAAATGTTACAGGGCTCTGAGCAGAGTGCAGGGTCTCAAGTTTCACATTTGTACCAAGCTGAAGACTTGGCATGTGCATAATACTGGGACCCAGCTGGAAATGCCCTTGCCTGCCATGTTCCTGTAAATGCCTGCAGGCGTCAGGGACCATCCTGTGAATTAATTTCCTAACCAGCTTGTTGCACCTGTTTATTTAACAGCAGCCACCCCACTGAGGGACATTCTGAAATGTTTCCGGTTGAAACAGCCTCATTTCCTTGTCCTTCCCTCGCATAATGACCTTGCCCATAATTCCCAGAGACAAAAAATCCATGTGCGTTTACACAGCCTCTCCCCGCCTCACACCTGACCTTGCCATCCAGTTGCCTCCCTGCTCGAGTGGCAAGTGCCCTCAGTCAAGTTCAAAGAGCCCCAAGTGACTCCAAGTTTTCCGATGAGAAGGCCGCAGTGCATAGTGCTCTACTGATGAAGGAGCCCCTGTGGAGATCGTGTCCACGGTGCTCAGCACTACTGTGCTGGGGCTAGCCAGTCTTCTGCCATGCCCTGAAGGTCTGAGAAGGGTGAGTGAGGCAGCTCAGGCTGCGTTCTGCTGAAGGGCACATGTCTCCAGGTTTCTGTGAAGCACTATTCTGTGCCTCTCGGCTAGAGGGTCCTGAAGGACTCAAGTGAGGGGCAGGTGCCATTCAGGCCTTCAAGAAGGTGGGTTTGGGGCTGGAGAGGTGGCTCAACAGTTAAGAACACTGGCTACTCTTCAGAGGACCTGCATTCAGCTCTCAGCACCCATATCTGGTGGTTTACCGCCTCCTATAACTCCAGCTCTAATGGATCCTATGCCCTCTTCTCGCCTTGCCAGCACCTGCATGCTCATGGCATC